AGTACTCTGACTCTGCAGTACTCTGACTCTGCAGTGCTCTAACTCTGCAGTACTCTGACTCTGTAGTACTCTAACTCTGCAGTACTCTGACTCTGCAGTGCTCTAACTCTGCAGTACTCTGACTCTGTAGTACTCTGACTCTGCAGTACTCTGACTCTGTAGTACTCTGACTCTGCAGTACTCTGACTCTGTAATACTCTGAGTACCTGTTCTCTGGGTTCCAGGTCATCCCAGTCCGGAGCACTTTGTGTGGGACGACTACCTGCAGGAAACTGGTTCCATGGCCGCTCCCGGCGCGGCGTTCACTCTGGTGAGAAGTGGGCGGGGTCAGACAGGAGTACAATCAGAGAGCTTCTAGTGACTGACGGCTCCATCTGTGTCCTCGGCCAATCAGAGAGCTCCGCATGGCTTTAAGCTGAACCACAGACTAGAGGCGGTCGACAGGAGGAACCCCATGTTGATGCGCGTCGCCACGGTAACAGACACTGAAGACTACAGGGTGAAGGTACGGCACGGTTCCTTCCACCATCTTTGTGATGTCATAGAGCGAAGGGTGATGATCGGCTGCGGTTCCGCAGATCCATTACGACGGCTGGTCCACGCTGTTCGACGTCTGGCTGGACAGCGACCACGGCGACCTCCACCCGGTGGGGTGGTGCCAACGCACGGGTCACCCGCTGGAACCGCCCCCAGGTCAGATGGCCCTCCCAGGGATGGCCGGCTCTCAGTCAGGCCTGCTGTCAGAGTCCTGAAGCCTGTGTGTTGTCGTTGGACAGGTTCCACCCCGCTGCCCTCGCCGTCTCAGGGAGTCTGTCCCACCGCCGGCTGCAGAGGAGTCGGACACATCAAAGGAGCCAAATACACGGGACACCACAGGTACCGCCCCCCACACCTGGTCATAGTCCTGCCTTCTGGTGGGTTTGACCCACCTGCGTCCGTCTGTCTGTGCTCAGTGCCTTCGGATGTCCGTATTCTGACATCAACATGAGGAAGGAGGTGGTGCTTCCTGATCGGCTGGGAGGGGAGCGCTCCGTCACGCTTGTTCCGGTGTCCATCCATCAGCAGGCCTACCTGCCTCACAGGTAACCACAGAACAGCGCTGATTGGTCAGGGCTCTGCTGTAGAGAGCAGCTGACAGCAGGGGGCGCCGTGCCCTGCTGCTACGCTGCAAACGGAGCAGGAAGTGTTCTGATCACCTCCCTGTCTGTGGAGCAGGAGAGCAGCTGAGGAGAAGGAGGAGGAGTCACCAGAGGCGCCGCTGCTGCTCCCCCTGGGGAAGAGGAAGAGACCGGCGGACAGGTGAGACAGCTGCTCTGTGATTGGCTCTGCTCAGCCGGGGGTGGGGGGCTGTTCTCTGCAGGTTATCTAACCTGCTTTTATGTAACAGACATCTGAAAATATCCTCAGAGCCTCGGCAGCACCAGGAGAACCAGCAGAACCCGAACAGAACCACTAGGAGAACCAGCAGAACCCGAACAGAACCATTAGGAGAACCAGCAGAACCCAGACAGGAACATTAGGAGAACCAGCAGAACCCGAACAGGAACATTAGGAGAACCAGCAGAACCCAATGAGAGTTTAAGGACATAGAAACAGCAGAAATAATGTAGAATAACCTTTGGAACCAGAATAAACTACCAGTTTAAAGGAACTAGAACATCTATTAACCAACAGACTGCTGTATGAGGAACGTATGGAACCCAGTAGAACTATAGCAGAACCCCGTTAGAACCCTGGACTCAGAGTAGAACCCATTCTTTGGTCCTATCCATCTGCCTCTAAGAGCCACAGGAGAAAAATGTTGCATCACTGATGATGAGGAGGATAAGGATGATGATGATGTTGAGGATGATGAGGAGGATAATGAGGAAGAGGAGGATGATGATGATGAGGAGGATAATGATGATGATGATGTTGAGGATGATGAGGATGATGATGAGGAGGATGATGAGGATGATGATGAGCATGAGGAGGAGGATGATGATGATGATGTTGAGGATGATGATGAGGAGGAGGATGATGATGAGGAGGATGATAATGAGGAGGATGATGATGATGATGATGAGGAGGATGATGATGATGTTGAGGATGATGAGGATGAGGAGGAGGATGATGATGAGGGGGAGGAGGATGATGATGAGGAGGATGAGGATGATGATGATGTTGAGGATGATGAGGATGAGGAGGAGGATGATGATGAGGATGATGATGATGATGATGATGTGGAGTAGGATGAAGAGGAGGAGGAGGATGATGATGATGATGAGGACGATGATGATGAGAATGAGGATGATGATGAAGATGATGATGAGGAGGATGATGAGGAGGAGGATGATGAGGAGGATGAGGATGATGATGAAGATAATGATTTTTTCTGTTCTCTCTGTCTCCGCCCACAGATTGTCTCAACCAACCAAATTGCTGCGTGTGAAGCAGGAAGAGGAGGAAGTTCCTCTTAGAACCATCAGTCCAGGTATGTTCTATGTGTTCTGGTTCTGGAACCAGTTCAACTGTTGGCCCAGCAGAGGGCGCTCCTCAGCCCTTTATCACTCTATTTATATTCTGTCTGCCATAGATCTATAGAGGTTACCTCATAGAGTACTCTGTCTGTAACCATCTAATCGGACCAATCACAGCGCAGGAGGCGGCCCATAATGCAGCAGTGGTTTTACTGTAACCATAACAGCTGTTTTATTGGTTCCCTTTATATAAATATAATTTATTGGAGAAATTCACTCTCTAGATTGAACCCCTCCCCCCGGGGAGCAGTGTGGGGTTAAGGGTCTTGCTCAGGGAACCAGAGTGCAGCCGGAGTCTGCATCCTTCTCAGCGCCCTGCTCTGCCCACAGTGTCCTGATGGAGCTGTTTATACGTTTAAACTTTAAATAGAAAAGTTGAGTTTATGTCTTTGATCTTTTTCCGCGGACTCCGCTGTCATCACGCTCTCGCCGCTCCGTCAGGCCGCAGGTTCTATAAAGTTCTGAAGTTCTGCTGCTGGTCTTGGGTTCAGAACCTTTCTGGTGATCTTTGCACCATCACTGTTAGCTAGTCACCACCAGGGGGAGCTGTGTCCAGTCCAGGCAGAGGAAGAGGCTGGTTACCATGGAAACCAGTGTGCGGTGAGAGAGGGCGTGGCTGAAGTTGGAGATTAATCTGAATGAAACAAAGAACTGCGGCAGTTTGATGGTCTGCTGACTGCTGCAGGTCCTCCCC